ACCCTGCTGAAGACACACATATGGCTCTCCGAGTTTGTGCCACGGGGTGCATCATCCATGAAGGGCTGGGGGAGCTGCTACCAGCACCACAGGGTTTACCTCTGCCCTCACACCCAACTGTTTTTTATTTACATGCTGTCACGGAAAACAAAGAACAGGAAAAGACTCCTGCCTGAGCGTTTCATAAAGGCGGCAATTTCCTCAAAACAGCTTGTTTAACCACTGGCAGCAGAGATTATTCTCCTTTTGAGTATTGACATACAGAAGGGTAACCTCCCCAGAGCAGCCTGATGGCATTTCCATCTTTGCAAGCTGAGCACGCAGGAGGGACAGCAATTACTTTACACATGGGATTAAATACTAATGAAAAAGAGAGGAGGGAGAAGGCCGTGGGCACTACTGGCCATGGCTTCCAAGCACTGGTGTTGCTCTCTTTGGAGAGGGACCATGCGAGACTTGGGCTCCAGGGCCACATGTGGGAGGTGTTTCAAGCCAGCCACATCACTCTGCACTTTATCCCTTGAAAGCCACAAGTGTCCTCAGAGGTCAGGCACCAAAGCGGGTAGGAAGGACAGGGGTAGCAATTTGAGGCTTTGTGCATCTGCAGCAGCTCAAAGCACTATTAAAGAAGCAGGGATGAGGCAAGGATGGAGAGAGCTAAGATGGCTCCAGAACTCTGCAGAAGTTGATTAGCAAAGATCACCACCAGTTCCAGGTCAGAAAAATAACCAAGCAGCTCAGGCCTCTGACAGCGAAGCAAGGAAAGTTACTGTGATGCTCAAACAGCATTTGAGCCTTACATACGGTCAGGTAGACCTCTTCCAGTCATTAACAGTAAATGCTGTAAACTAGTCTGGCCCAAAAATAAAAAATGATGGTTACTGTAAACTGGAGAGCAGCTGGAAAAAACTTGGCTCCTCCAAACAGAGACCAGTGGACATCAGTTAATAGCACCCATGTATGGTTATGGTCCACAATGAACACTCATTAAGTGCAGTTTACATTTCAGATATTTTATAATAAACTTGACAAATCTAATCTTCCTGTTTGTGATTCATTTGAAAGTTACTCATTTTGCAAGCATCCAAACCAGTTCATGCATAAGCATCTGCCCACTCCATGCCCTGTTTAAGCTACTCTTTGTTACAGGCACTGGTGTCACGAGGTCCTTTGTGCACTGGGTTA